TCGAGATCTAAAGTATCTGGAGTTTGATCTACAGAAGTAGGCATTGTGTTGTTTGATGTACGGAGTGTTGGTATAGAAAGTATATAGTCCTAGTTTTATGTTTGCTTAAGAGTGCGAATTCACTTTCCTTAGTAAAATTTGGAGTTATTTAATTTAATCGTGCTAACTTTTTTTCTTGTATCAAAAGTTTTATAACAATAAAATCTTTTTATTCAATTTATAAAAAGTCTTTCACGTATCCCAATCTTAAATTAAAAGTTTCAGCACTAAAGTATGAAGATTATAATGGCAAATATTTTGCTACTGCAATCGATTCAACAGAAACTGGCCAACGTATTCCTAACACCCAATTCGGTGTTCTTTCTGATCCTATTGAAACAAGCAATTTTACAAAATTTTTACAATATCTTGATAAAAATCTTGATAATCAACAACCTACTTCTGATAAAAATATTGTAAGTTTTTTTAAACTCTTTAAATAATAAATTATTTATTCAATTTTTATTTATTTTTATTTTATTTCTTAGGAAGATAAAGTTGAACAAATTTTAATTAATTTTCGAATTCAATTTGATAAAAATGAACCTTTACTAGACAAAATTAATAGAATTCTTAAAGTTAGTGAATCATTAAATGATTTCATAAAATTAATCAAAAACTAATCAATAAAAATTAAGAAATACTTGCCGCTGACAGTAACAGCACCTGATTTCATTAAGAGTTATATTTAGGGTTAGGAATAGTCATAAAATATAGTAAAATTGTGCAAGGAAAATTTTTTGTTAAGATATGTAAGTACGTTTGATAGGCATAATTTTAAGTTATTTTGATTTGAAAATTTTAAGATTATTAAATATATAATATAAATTAAAATTTTATATAAATAAATAAAAATTTTATCTATATTTGCTACCAATCGCATTTGTCTGCTTGCAAAAAGAGGATCTGTGCCCGGTTTGAGATGATCAAATGATTTTTAATAAAAACCTAATGTTATATAACAATACTGATTTTTAAGTACATACGTTGTGAAAGTGTAAATTACACTCCCCCGAAATTACTGCAAAATCTTACATTTCATTGGCCAGCGTGATCATAACTATCACAACGCCTCAAATTTTCACACCTGAATTCTCAAATTTCGTTAATCATGTTTAAACAGGTATTGAAAAAATCGATTGTAATATAAATAGTAAAACCGATTACTTATAACTCTAACCAAATTCGGAATAGAAAGTTCTGAGTTTGCCAAATTTGACCAGAGCAGCATCAATCGGGTAACCGAGCTGAACCGAATATATTCGGGTTAGCCGGTTCAGCAAAATGCTTAATCGGTTGACCCAGCACAATCGATTAACCCGGTGTAATCGGTTAACTTGGCATAATCGGTTAACCTAGTACATACGTACGTATGTTTTAAGAAAAAAAATTACTATATTTCGGATGATTAAAAATTTATTCCGATGATTTTAGGATAGCGGAGACTACGTACAGTACGTACGCATGACCACGTTTATCAAAAACACTATTAATGCGGAGATTACGTACGTACACATGACCACGTTTATCAAAAAACACTATTAATAAAATTATATCGATATCACAAAACTCCGAAAGATATTTATTATTCAAACACAAATGTGTAACAATCTTTGTATGTACGTATGTATTAAATTTTGTGTTCATATTAATAAAAGAATAAATATCCTTTTTAGTTTCCGCCTGTATAAATATTTTACTGAATGAAATGATTGCGTATTGTAGCAAAACAATTTTGTGCCAATGTATTTTTACTAAATTGAAATAATAATGATAGTCAATTATTCATAGTCATAAAATTAAACTTCTTAGCACAAGCAATAATTTAATCTCCGAATCTCCCGTACGTACAAATTATGATAACTTAAAAAAGAATTTCCAAAACGATCTGTTGATAAGGCAATGTAATTTGAATTTTATTTAAAGTCATCAAAAACCTATTTTCGATTATTAAAAATCTTGTTCGGAGCGAAGTTGGAGGTTCAAATTTAAAGAAAGAAACATATACAAAAGGTATATATTTCATTTTTCCAAAGATCATATATATTTATTGCAAAGGTATTATATGTATGAGACGTACTAACTTTCTTTTCTTTTTGTTAAGACAAAATTATCAAATTTTTAGCGCTTTTATAACAATTTATGACAAAATGTTGCAATTTTTATTCAAACATACGGTTAGTTTGAATACTTAAGTTAATAATAGCCTTCAAATAAGGGCCGTAACTAATCTTTTATTTTTATAGAATTCACAAATGGACAAATCACCTCAAAAACTCGAAAATACACAAATGATCGCACAGAACTCTCATGAATTTGAAGATAACAAAAAACAATTTGAAAATTCAATCAAAAAATTTGAACCTTCATATAAAAAACAAGGATTTCATCTACATATATGCCATCCCCACCACCCGTGTTTTTATATTTTTAATATTTGAAAATATGTATTGCCTTTTGTTCTATTCATCAATTTACACTCGTGTATTATTGAATGGAACTGTCATGATGTCATGTCCTATTTATTTTTATTAATTTTTATGACCTCTTATTATTTGTTAATGAGCATCCATATAAATAACGAATTTTAAATCTCATTTGCATGAAATAAAATGTATATTTTAACATTTTGAAAATAAGCGTGAATTTAAAAATACCTATTCCAAATTTGAATTTCTGATATCAGAAATCAAATTGGAATATTTATTGATGACATATTATTATCATATAAAATAAGTAGATTTTATAGATTGTTTATTTTAAACAAATACGTATTATTTGAAACAATTGGAAAGGTTGGTGACATAGTTCTTCTGATCTACGAATCAGCTTTCAAGATTAGGTGTAACGTAACACAATTAAGAAGATTCAAAACAAACGTTCATTTTGCCAAAAATTGCTCATAACTCAAAAATCAGCATAAGAAAAAGTTTCCGTTGAACAATTTTACTATTGAAACTTCTCCTCTAAAGCTCTTGGCGCTGACCTAACCCTACCGAATTTTAGGAATTTTGTTTGCACCCACCAACCCGGTACACATTTTCTAATTGCATATTTGTCTTGATGCCATCGGGTGGTAAATAATTAATTACCACCCTATATAAATTAAATAATTAATTACCACCCCATATAAATTAAATACTAAATTGACTGGCTGACCTAACCCTAAGGGGATGTGCATCAAGTTGCTATTTAATTTTATACCGACCCAGGCTTCTCATATTTGAATTTAGCAATCTGATAATTAAATTTTAAATCACTAATGTTTGATTTAGAGATAATTCATTTTTTTCACTAATCTAAAACAGGTGAAATTAGTTCTGAATTTTTATATGAATTTAAACATATCCAGTTTATAATCATCGCCTGTTTTTAATGATTTTTTATTTCATATTAAAAATAACATTTATGTTAATTAAGCTATTTATCAAACAATAGTGTAAAAATATTATTTTCTTTTAAAATCTATATACACTTGGCCCCGTTAATATCAACCTCGTTAATATCAACCCATTTTGATTGGGCAATTATGTTGATATATGCGAGGGTTGATAATATCGAGATTGTTTTTATATACCCTGAATCTATTTTGTCTTAATAAGAGGTTATATTAACGGGAGGTTGATATTAACGAGGCTGATATTAACGGGGGTCAAGTGTATATATTTTTTATAATCGATCATGCAGAGATCAATAACTTAACCGGATCAGCCGAAAAATCATTCGGCTAATTTTTATCAGGTGTTCCAGGAATTATGATTTTTTAACCTGTTCGATTAAGTTGTGATTTCGGCATATAACGATAAAAGATTTCAGTATATACGTAATTTTATGTATATGTCTTGTTAAGGTACTAAATAAAAATTTAATAATGTTGACATTATTGTTGCGATCCGTAAAACGTTAATAACAATAAATTTTCTTAAGACTATATAAAGGCTCAAATTAAATCAATTACATGCAAATATTGTTAGTCATTATGATGCAAAAACAGTTTTTATTATACGGATCATGTTGAAATTACAAACTTAATCGAATCGGTTGAAAAATCTTTCGGCTAATTTTTATCAGGTGTTCCAGGAGTTATGAAAATAGCTGTAACTTTAAAAATTTTATGAATTTCTGTTTAACCCGGGTCAAAGCTCTACTTTTGTGGTTATTTATACGGCATACGGCATTTATATGCAAATGTGCCCCTCAAGATTTTAAATGTCTGCATCATTACTAAATACATAAAATCAAAATTTTCATGGGATGAATCCTAGAAGGTAAAAGTTAATGAATCGATTTACAGGATTTCATTTCATTACTCATTAATAACCCGATCGTTATTATAAATTTTTTTTAATATGTTGATACGTCGTGCATCAAATTCGAGAAGTGTCAAAATGAAATTTGAATCAAACCAGTTTATTATGGGTCAGATTGAAATTGTATAATGAGTAATAATCAAAATCAAAATTATATGTTAAACAATTACATGTATTCATGTATTTTACTGGTTTTTTTTAAGACGTTAAAATTTTGACATTAAATCAGAAAGGCTATATTGATCAAATACGTGGAGATGAATCATATTCTAACGAACATATATCAACAACACTAGCTTCGCTCAATCATGTCACCAAAAAAACAGCGGACTTGAATCAATTTAGTGAATAATTTAGGTTAAATTCATAATGTTATATTAAAAGATTATAAACGATTGTGATTATTATATGTATTTGAATTTTTGCATTGGGCATTGTTTAATAATTGATAATCAGTGTTGTCAATTTTTTGTTCTATTGATAAAAAATTATATTCTATTCTAAATTCTATTGTTCTATTCTATTGTTCTATTATTCTATTTGTTTTTTACTATATTAATATGAATTATGATCTAGTTGTCAATTTTTTATTCTATTGTTAAAAATTTTATTCTATTCTAAATTCTATTGCTCTATTCTATTGCTCTATTGTTCTATTCATCTATTGCTGACAACACTGTTGATAATGTATGCCATAGAATTCATCACAAGATACGTATAGTTCTAAAATACAAACTTTGTAATGTTTTAAGCAAGCTCTTAAATTACATCGGGATTCTCATAAGCTATATTTTACTCGATACTTATTGTCTTGCAAAATCTATATTCGACTATATTTAAACGAGGTTATTCTTTAATAAACCAATTTTGTTAATTATTGATTTAGTTTTAGATCAATACATTAAGTATATAAAAATCGACAAATGTTTAGCATTTACAGATAACTAATCTGGACCAGTGTGTGAAATTCAATGTTCTCACTGTTCTCCGAGAACACTAATCAAATTTTGAGAACATAATTGATTAAAATATGTTCTCTATCTGAGAACATTAAATAGAATTTTTTGATATTATACAAGTTTAATTTTTCTATATTGAGAACATTAAAAATTTTTGGTGAGAACATAAAGTCAAAATTGGATTTCACACACTGATCTAGTGGTTGTAGTCGGATAGATTAGTGGAGCAACCAAAATTCAGCAGATCGACCAAAATTTAGGGTTGGAATAGGCCGGAGTTGATAAATTTCTCTCCAAATCACCCAAAAGTTTACTAATGAAATGGTAGCCCACGTACGTACTAAGTAAAGCTGCCCAGATGATAATTTTGCTGTAATATAGTTGGCTTGTATTATTACTTAATGCCGGCCTAGCTCCGGGCCTATTCCGACCCTAAATTTGGTCGATCTGCTGAATTTTGGTTGCTCCACTAATCTATCCGTTGTAGTCAGCAGTTATTTAAAAATCGATTAAATCGAGTTTAATATTAAATATATATTTCCCGAATTTCTCCAGTATTTATACTTTTTCCTGAAAATCGACTGAGTCGACTAAGTCGATTTTATCTATTACAGTATACCTTCCCAAAACCGATCCTGTCAAAACCAATAACCTGTTATAGCCGATAAAAAAAATTGATCCACCATAGCGATAGCTGTTCCGATAACCTGCAATTTCTGATAACCAATAGATCAGACGCCTATATGATATCGGGTTTGTCGGGTAATTTAAATCAATTTGATTGGCTCAGATCGAGTCTTGTGTAACCAAGTAGATATATTAAATATAATCTAGCCAATTATATTTATTTATTAGGGATTGAAACCGCCTAAAATTTTTCTTAATCGTTTAATCGTTTAACCGCTTAACCGTTTAATTTGGCCGGCATTAAGATAATTCCGGCCCACGACCAACATAATCCTGCCCGGAATTATGGAGCAATTTTTAAACGGTTAAACGGTTCCAATCCCTATTATTTATAATCATAGACCAGTGAGCCATTGGTATCTTAACCTTTCAAAACCGATACAAAAGCTGTCCACCATGCCTATCGGATTTGAGAGGGTGTACTGTAATACCAAATCGACTACAATCACTAGTCTAATTAGATTTTGCAACTTAAAGAATCGAACAAATTTTTTTAGCATTAATCGCTTGAAACACAATATATCGAAGAAGTAAAGATTTTTATATTTATACACTAATTATATACATTTTACAAATCTGATTACAAACATAATTAGCACAATGTGGATCTTTGTCCAATTTCGTGACTGGCTGTTCCACTTGGCATTTCTCCATTTCTTCCAGTAATAAATTCCTCGTATCTGTATGAAAAAAATGTAAAACGAAATTCGTAAAAACTCTATTAATAAACTATAACTAAGGCTTTATCCTCAAATAAACGAAATTCATACATACATTGAAGCTAATCTTGCGTATTCTTGTGGCGTTATTGAAGGTCGAGTAATTTTTAATGAATCTTGCATATGTTTGTTTGTAATTATCGCCTATAAATAATAATTATTAACACATACCCCACATATCATTATATTTAAATTAACGAAAAATAACATACCGATCGCTTATTCTGTTCTTTGTCATTTCCTTCATCGACAACTTTTTCAGGTGAAAGCACCTTTTTGATGAGTCCAAGCTACAAAATTTTCAAATATGAGTTACTGAGTCCAACTACGCATAACAACTTTTGTTTATATTTAATACACTTACTCTTTCTGTTAGTTGTGATCTCTCAGCAGCAGTTAATGTAGTATTATTTTTCGAATTCGCGCTGAAACAGACAAATTGCATATCTCTGCCATTAGTGCTCGGCGTTTTCTTTTCTAGGAATTTTTCAGAATCTATAGTTTCATGAATTGCTTCAAGATGAGCATTATACAATAATGCTTGTAAATCCGCTCCCGAATACCCTTGGCATTTGTTTGCATAGTAACTTAAATCAATATCATCACTTAAATCCAATTTTCGAGCTAATGCTTTCAAGATCTTTTTGAAATATAATTAATGCTTATTTTACTTGATAAACTAATTCAGATATTCAAGAAACCTTGCTACCTCTGTCCTTTCTTGTAAAGTAGGCATGTTGCAAAACAACGACTTATCTAAACGTCCTGGTCTCAATAATGCGGGATCAATGAGATCCGGACGACTTTAGATTTTGAATTTATCGTATTAGTTATAATTATTCTGCGAGCATATCTTTTTTTACTGCTTATAATATATTATTTATGTGGTACTTACCTTGTAGCAGCAAGAACATATACCCCATCAAGACCTTCAGCTCCATCCATTTGAGTTAACATTTGATTAACCACTCTATCCGTAACGCCTGTGCTATCGTGTCCTCTAATTATTAAACATACATATATATATATATATTAGCAAATTTTTATTGAAACCGTATCATGTATGTATATATATATATACGTATACGCAATGTGCTAGTTGACCTTTTAGGTGCGATAGAATCAAATTCATCAAAAAATAAAGCACAGGGTTTGGCAGCTTGCGCTCGCTCAAAGAGATCTCTCACCTACGTTAAAGCACCTTCGATTAATAATTATGATCACTAAATTCACAGTTTTATATAAACAATAGCAACTTTACCGATTTCTCACTAGCGCCAATATATTTATTTAATAGTTCGGGACCTTTGACACTAATAAAATTGAGTCCACACTCTTTTGCAACAGCTGATGCCAATAGTGTCTTGCCACAACCAGGAAATCCATATAAAAGGAGTCTGTTCGCACATGAATGAATATATGAAAAGGAATATGTACACAATATCATAATAAAAAAAGTGTTCAATTACCCGGACCGCAATCTAAGAGGACAATTGGCAAAAATAGACGCGTATTTTGTAGGCCATTCCAATGTCTCTAATAATACCTTTCGCGTTTCTTCAAGACCTCCTATATCAGTCCAGCTTACATCTGAAGTATGTAATTTCACACCACGAAGTGAAAAGGGAACAAACCCTTTCTGCGCTTTTCGGAAATCATCTTGAACTAATAAAAAATCAGCTTCATTGACATTGTTTTGTAAACTCCTAACTGCACCCTCATGTATTGTTCGTTCCACGAGTGTTTTAAGGTCTGCTGCCAAATAACCTTCGCATTCACTTGCCACAGAAAGTAAATCAACATTCGATATGCTTTTTTTGGCAAGTTCAGGACCACAAGACATTATCGCCTTAAGAATCTATTAATGTTCATAATATACGCAGTTATTTTAATAAATTGTATGACATGATAAACTTTGGTAATTCTATCTTTTATTGACCTCATATCTTTCTGTTTTCGTTGGTGGATTTAATTGAGCGATTTCACTAAACAAGTGAATTGTAGTTAGGAACGAGTGAATAGAAGATTTTTGTTGTGCTGTCGCCAAAATTGTGATACGGTGTCTTTTTAGCATCTTTGATGCAATATGGAAAAAACATTCGGCTAGTTGTCGAAACCTGAAAGAATCCACATGCTATAAATAAAAAAAAAAGCACTTAATATAAAGCGTTTTAGCATAATATTTCAGTGATCACTACATACTTCAACTTCTGCCGGAATTAGCCTGTCGAGGTCGTCAAACAAAAGTATACTAGGCGCATGCCAAGCAGCATCGTCGAAAAAGGTTTGCAGTTTTTCTCTTACAGATGATATACGATCCTCTGATAATTCAGTACATTTAATGACACTGCAATCTGTTTAAAATGAGCCCAGTGTCAAAACTAATTCCAAAATTTAACCGAATTAAGTTAGCGACAACTTACATGCTAGAGTATTTAGATCTCGCTCTAAATAAGAAGCTACAGTTTTTGCAATACAAGTTTTTCCGGATCCATGGCCACCACATAATAATAAACCACCCATGCCTAAAAAAAATAGAAAAATAAAAAAAAATAAAAAAAATAAAATAAAATAAAATAAAATAAAATAATTAAATTAAATTTATATGATAAAAAAGTTCAAAAACTAATGTGATGAAATTTCAGTACACCTGGAATATGCAAAACATTCCGCAAATTCGCTTTTCCGAGACAATATCGGAGATATTTTTGTAGCCTTTGAGATAGTTTTTCAACGCCAGCTAGTAGAGGAAGATAACCATTATTGTGTCTAAATGAATACGCCAATAAGAATTATTATAGCAAAAATCCTTCTATATGTAAGATTTCATTTTCTCCATTCACTTACTGTTTTAAAAGCTTATGATCAGTAAAAGATATATTGTCACCAACTTCTATTTTTATATTATTCAAATGATTTTTTGAAGTTATTGCATACATTTCTGAAGTATCGTTTTTGCTGTGCCGACCATCATTTTGACCAATTGGTTTTCCACCAAAGAAAACCACAACATTTATATCACTATTTGCTGATGATAATGATAATTTCATCCCATTTGTCAAAACAATATCCGAAGATGCTGATAATTTCTCAATCCATGCTTAATTATTTAAAAGTGCAAATATTATTTATTGTAGTTAAAGGCGTAAACAAAAGTGTTGGTTATGTTATTTACCATTAACTGAATTAGTTATGGTGGAAATGATGGATCTATCTACAGGCGTTGAACTAATGAAATATGAATAAGACATTATAAAATATGTATTATTAACAAGTTATTATAGCACTCACAAACCTGGTGTTGGAATGAAGTTTTAAAGAAGCAGATTGAAAAGGATGTGATATGCATCGAATTATTATGTGAGTTAATAAAGTAGAATGCGAATGTGGAGGCACTAAGCTATATAAAAATAAAACATTAATCATGATACATCAAATATAAATTCTTAAAATAGTTTGTATTTCACAATTCACCGAATTATGTCAAACTTTTGCACGTCCAGGACATCCATTATACTCTCACACAATACGACATGTCCAGGAACCACGCTGTCCTTAACCAGTACTTTAACATATAATGCTGGTAATGAATGGTTTCTGCCATCATTGTCTGATTTATCATCAGCTTCCTTGTTTTGGTGGGATGGTTGTATTTTAGATACACGCACAATTTTAGGATTTGGGAGTCCGATTCGCGTAAAATCAGTTGGATGAATATACACAGTACAGAAATCATTGGCACTTGGTTGTAGTAAATCAGGTGAAAGAAACGCCTGAGGTAAAACGCGCAAGCAATATACACGAGCATTAAAAATGCTGTTTGATGCGATATCTTTAGTTTCCGCATTATTTTTTGGTTTTCTTGACTTGGGTGCCACAGCAATTTCCGTACTCTCGCTTAATTTAACACAAGGACCCTTTGAGTTAATATTGACTAAATAATGAAAGATTATCATTAAAATGTCATGTTTTTTTTTTTTTCGTTAGATAGAAATATGTTTATAGGAAACCAACCGATTTTTATCCGTGTAACATTAGAATTGATCCAAAGCACCATAACCTCATTAGGATATACAACGCGTTGTTGCCTAATAAAAGAGTCTTCTAAATATCTACTATTACGTTCCTTTTAAGATATATTTGATTAAAAGACGTTTGAGAAGCTATTAACGACGGATACCTAACAAAAATCAAACGTTACTATAATTTCCCAATCATCAGAACTAATCGGTTCAACTTCTACAGAATTGGCCTCTGGCACTATATCTTCGAAACGTTTAAAGTAAATCTATACAATTATATTTAAAAATATTAGATCATAAAAATGATAAAGTTAAAGTATAAATTAGGATTCACCTTTTGACCATGGTGTAAACCAATAGCCTCGCCAAATTGTGGGTCTATTTCGATAGCATCGGAATGTTCAGACTTTGAAGAAAACCCAGACCAGCCAACATATGCTTTGCCTTGTGCAATTTTAGCATCATGCGAAGATAATTCTAGAATAACATTTTGTGGTAACTGTCAAAATGTAAATCTAAAGACGTGTCCCCCCGAAATAAATAATAGAAATCAAGATATTTATATGAATTGAGTACCTGGTTTTGTTCAGAAAGAATTTGAGACCATTTAAATGGAAGATTCACGAAACAAGTTGATAAAGGGACAAAAGAGACAATAGCATGAAGCTGCTGAGCCATTTCAGACCAAAAAATCAAATTTTAACGAGTGGTCGAGTTCTTAACTACTGAATCAAATTCGATTTCATTGGTTGATCAAAAATAATTTTTATTGGTTAAAGGGTAGAACGTATGATTCCATCACATATATACGTATTTAAAAAATTTATTGCTAATAGACCTGAACTCAACCCAAACACACTACAAGGACCAACTAAATTTAAACAAACTTTGATATTTTAGTTGTAATAAGAGCTTATTTAAATCTAACATAGTTAAGTAGTTTAAATACTGTAAAAACATTTCCAATTAAACATTAACGTTCGTTTAAAGTTATGAATAACTTTTGGGAGATTTTTTTATTAATGAAATGTTACGTTCTCAAAGGGTACTTTAAAGTATATAAATAAGATACCCCCCAAAAAAAAGGATTGCGAAAAGTAATGTTATTACCTATAATTTAATAAAGCTGCGTACAGGCATATAAAATTATATACCAAAGATATTGCCTATTGGTAACATTACCAGTGGGCAATAATTATATATAGTAATACCATTATTAGTCGTATATATTAACCAAAGATACAACGAGCGACTCTCCTATTCAGGATCGTTGATCCACCTTCCAAAAACGCATCGTTTCCAATAAGATGATTAAACAATGCTTCGCGAAGTATTTTCGAAATCTCTGGGAAGAATAATGATTTCTGAATAATATACGGATTGATTTTCATAATATCTTCCCACTCTTCATCTGTAAATATATGAACTTTGAATTATTGACGATAAAGCTCTCTTAATTTAATATAATAATAAATGTAATTATTACAAACTTCAAAATACTTACAAAATTTTATAAATATCGTATCTTATGCATTCGGCTTTGGCCTTGTAAAGTGTTTCATTTTGATAGGTTCGAAACCTATCAGTAATATTGATTTGGCCGACTTTCCACTAAAAATTAATTGCATAAACCGTAATCAAAGAGTGGCTAACTATCTCTAATATCTAAAAAGATAGCAACTATGTTTTTCGTTAAATTTCGTCAATTTTGACATTGCGAAAATAATTTAGTCGCTTATCATAGCATACAGTCAGAATTCATCAGAATAGTGAGAGACTGGGTCAGAATTAACCAACTTTGCCAAACTCCAATACCACTAGGAGACACTCAATCAAAGAACGTAAATTTTAATTATTTCGGATCAGCTCAATACAAAAATGAGTATAAACATTGGGTCGATAGATATACAAAATCACGTACACCACCATGTAAAATTGACCTTAAAATATTGAATAGTTCTCGAAGTTTAATGGATCTATTAGAAGAGGTAAGACGAAATCTACATTGGTTTATTATATTTTGTGTATTTTATATTTTTATATCAGGTAAAAAAGATAAAAATACTCAAAGTGATGTCTAAATCGATCTCAGGCACTAATTAAAAGCGACAAAAATCAATAAAAAGGATACTGCGAATTGTGACAAGAAGTCATCATTCTTGAAAATCTTCAAGTGGCATAATCAGAGTAGGAAAGCAAATTAATCCATCACATCGTATAATTTCGGACTTCTTTACAACGGAAACATCTTGCAAAAAAATTCACATAATGCATACATTTCTGATCTTTGATCTCTTCGAGTCAGAAAAAAAAAAGTTATTGATATGTTACTCTTGAAGTATTATAAAGTCAACCATTCATACTAACAGCCAAATAATAACCGGACAACAAGTTTTTGACGGAATCTCTTAACGATAGGCTTACTGTAAATATTTGCCAGAATTATAACCAAGATTCGCATTTGGAATTCTAGTGTGTTTTGTCCAATGTGTTATGTCGCCAACGAAATCATTCCAAAACCAAATATCAACTTGATGTGATTGAACCCTTTTTGAAATTTCAACTATAAGTGATATTCAAATGTCAATTATAAAAGTGATATTTTTAACAAATGCCATCAAGTTCATAACACTAAGGGTAAGTAACATAACATATACAACCGATCTAGTGTTATCAACGACTATTTCTATCATACACTTAGTAGTTCGGTTTGGCAATATCTTTCCTTTACATCTCTTTATAAATAACGATAGAACCTAAATCTAATACAACGTAATAATATTAAAAACTTTATGTTAATATAGCTATAAGGCCATACAAACTTAATAAAATGGTTTTCATAACCTGGCCGGTCAAATTTCGCAAACTTATTAAAAAAAATTTTGGCTATATTTACTATCTGGGTGAAGTTTTTTTAGAAGTCTATAAAAATTTTTATATGCTTTTTATATATAGAAATAAATTTAAAAGCCGGGTTGCCAGATCATTTTTCAAATTTTATGTTATAAGAACTAAAAAATTAACTTTGTATAGCCTAACTTTAAACATATAAAAAAATTTTAAATAGCGTAATTTAAAACAATTTAAATGTAACTTTTTTTTTTTTAGACCAAAGAAAACCTTCAAAAGGCGAATAGAGGATATTATTTCCCTAGACAGTATAAGATTTTTACTCACTAAAACCTCTGGTGTAAATGTTTTTATTCCTATAACCTGGCTTATAAAAGAAAACATTTACAAAAAATAAAAATAACTTTAACAAGTTTTGCTATAAAATAAAAGGAGTCATCTTGGTGCTACCCAGGGTGGTAAATAATTTATTCCACCCCGTCTACATTAAATCCCGGATGGCACACAAACTTTTCAAAAATAAAAAGTTAAAACCAAATGAATACTTACCCTTGTTAGAGTTAAAAGGGGCCCGCCAGGAGGAATGTGACTGGTATCTTACTCGACACGAGTGAGTAAGACCAGAAAATAAAAATACTTACCTATTGAAAGAAACCTATATTGGGAATCTTTCAAAACCAAAAAGTTAAAACAGGCATAGCAACTGAACACAAACGTATACAAATTAAACACCTATCTTAAAAATTATTCGTATATTCGTATATTCAAGAAAACATCGAGGTGCAAATGTATGAACGAATATGTATATAAAGATAAAAAACGTAAACGTGTATATAATGAATGTACAAACGTATGTATAAAGTGTATAAATAAAAAAAACGTAAATGTGTGTATAAAATAGTGGGTAAAGGTATAACTATCTGTAAAACATAAGAAAGAAAAAGTATGAGAAAATATAGAAAATATTAAGGAGGCTTATATAAAAAAATTTTTCATTGAGCCTATTTTGGGACTCGTTTTTGATTAATATAACAAGGATTTTTGTTTGAAAAATAACGTGTTTCTGTATGTAAAATTACATTCCTATCATTTTTATTCTTATAGTTTCATTTTTTCTTTCCTTTTTTTTCTTTTCACACGCGTCAAGCTAATTCAGGTAAACAAACTGATTGGTTATTTTCTTTTTTTGGAAATTATGTTCGGAGCGTATTTTTTGGACATGCCCAGGGGTGGGTAATACAAACCCAAAAGAAATTAAGTACATACGTGAAGCTGACCCACATAATTTTTTCCATCCCTTGTAATAACGACCAATCGAATTTCAGGATCAGGTGTAATGTGAAAATCGAGACGAAGCAAAAAAACTAAATTCTAATTAGGAAACCGCCTTCTGTGGTCTAATGAAAAATGTTCCTCGTAAAATTTTACATGTAAGTATTACACTATCCTAGTCCTAACCTTAACTTTAACGCGGCTTTA